CCGCTCCACAGCCAGGGTGAAAACCGCGAGGAAACGGTTATTCTGCTGCTGCTGCTGCTTCCTGCCCCCTCTTCCTGCTTTGACTTGCCCTCAGAGCCTCGGCAGCCCCAGCTCGGGGCTTGCTGGTGGAGAAGCAAGGGAAAAAGTAGGGCTTGTGGAGGACCAAACTCCCATAGACTGGCTGTAGAAGCACTATGGTGCTGCTGGACAGTAGCACAAGCCTCCCTGTGCTGTTCCCTGGCTGGGAAGGATTTCTCTTGCTGTCACCTCATTATGCATATGCTGTTTGGTTTTGTGTGCTCCCTGGGTAAAAGGTGCTTTGTGTGACAGGCAGAAACACTTGTCCAGGTTACTGGAAATGGAGGCCTGTCTTCATGGAATGGTTTGTGTTGGACAGGACCTTAAAGCTCCTCCAGCTCCAACCCCCTGTCCCGGGCAGGGACACCTTCCACTAGAGCAGGTTGCTCCAAGCCCCTGTGTCCAACCTGGCCTTGAGCACTGCCAGGGATGGGGCAGCCACAGCTCCTCTGGACTTTGCTGCTCTCCTGATGTAAATCTCATGTCAATGTTGCAGACATGGACGATGCCTCCCCTGACAAAGCAGCAGTGAGAGACGACACTGGGCAGTACCAGCGCTAAAGCAGCGGCCAAGCCCTAGACAAGCAATAAACCACCACACAATGAAGCATTACTCTTACGGATGATTTCACATTTAATGACTGAATCATGCGAGTTCTCTGCAATCAAAAGCACATTAGAGAGATTGGGTAAGTCAGAATCAAGAAAACATCCTAAAACACTGCGTCAAGCTAAGCACAAAGTTGCCCGTGTCACACACACCAAAAAGACTGTCAGCATCAGCCTGAGCCTGCGTCTGGTGTCGGTGTATGGAGGGGTGATGGGAGCAGCTCCTCCTGCCAATGAACCTTCTTACCAGTTCAGGATGGAGGGGGCGAAGGAAAAGGTTCTCTCTGTCCCATAGGTAAGACTATCTCCTGGCTTAGTCATTGAACTGAAGCTTTCTTTTGGCCTGTAACATACACTTCATAGCACAATACTGGATTTGATTCCTTTCTGTGTCACACTGACTCGAGTATGTGTCACCTCCGTGTACACTGCCAAAGGGGAAACCTACACCAGTGGTAGAGCCAACCCACCAAGTGCACAGCAGTAGCAGGACCTATCTATATTTGCACAGTTGATTCTTCTCTCTCACACAGTATCAGCCATGTTCACTAAGACAGTGTCTTATGCAGCATGCCAGGGCCTCTTTGATTATTAAAATCATGAGCTTTCATTTTGGTTCTGAGTCAAAAATGACTTGTGGTTTGTTTTGCTTTCAGTCACTAGTTTAGCTGCTACAGTCGCAGTGTCTTTTAGGGTGGTTTTATTTCTAGCTTCCAGTTGAAGCTTAAACAGAGGTATCTGGGAGCCAGCCTCCAGCTGCTTAATCTGTGCAATACTTATTATCCAGGTGCCTTCCTTAAGGTACTCTCATAGCCCACGCATGACCTATTCCAAGCGATGAAGAAAGGACTGGCTTTAGAAGAGTGTAAAGCTCCATCCATCCATTTCTTCAGTGAGTGACTGGACATGTACTTTTTGCTTTAACTGCTGTATGTGGGTGTACATATGTACGTGTGTATATAAAGCAGTGTTTAATTAAAGGTGATTGATTGCTAGATTCTCAGCACGACTGGACTCGGGTAATTCAGCTAGTTCTGGCTAAGACTGTGTCACCTACCACCTTCACCAGTTCTTAGCTTTGAAACTCAGCCTAAATCTAACAACTGTTTAACTTCCATTTGCTTTAGTGGTTCTGTTTTTCCAAGCAGATCTTGCCTTCCATAAACTACCTTCAGAAGCTCCCAGGGGTGGGGCTGTAGAGAACAGACTCCTCCAACTGCCTTTGTAGACCTAAAGCTGAGTGAGCATCAGGCCACTGCTGGAAGGAGGGAAATGAGGTGAATTCTGGGCTGAACTCATCCATTGTCTCCAGGTACCCTCCAGCCTCACATCCTGGGTGGTACGTGCTGTAATTCTCCTCTGGCACCAGAGGATGCCACTGTTACTCTCCTTGAGATACCCAGGATGAAAAAGCATGTACTGCAAAGCCCATTTGCAGCAACCCCCCAATCTGTCATTAATAGAGGAGCCCCTCCCACCATGACAGCATTCTCTCCATCCCTGTACAGAGGAAACGAGCATGAAACAATACAATGAGGGAGTTGATTTGGAAAGCAGCCTGCTCCCATTCCATGTGTATCACACCAGGGACTGTCAGCTATTCAAAACCATCTCATGATGTCCTTGCAGCTTGCTAATACACAGCTAAATGTCAGGGTAACGATTCCTTATGGTAGAGGTGTATTTGACAGCTCAAATCTCCACCCTGAGAACAGAGCTACTCACCAGAGGAAGCGTTCACCAAATAATACCTGACTTGGCAAAAAGATGGTGCAACAGCAGCTCCATCTCTTGGCTCCAGGCAGGTGGGACTTGGGCCAGCCTGTGCTGGGGAGAAGGGGCAGGTTAGCTCGAGGTCTCAGCTCCCTCAGCATCACAGAGCCAGCAGCTCTGCAGCTGTAACTTTCGGTTTCCTACATCTGGTGCCAAAAGAAAGAGGCAAAAAGAGCAGCAGCTTTGTTAAAAATATTTATTTAAAAAAATACAATTGTTTTGCATGTCTGGTTGCACATAACTATTAACATATGATTGACTTGAATAATTTGCTACAATGCTTTTTTAAAGCCAGCTTGCATTATACAAAGCAAATCCCTCTGTCAGTTCTTACATAAAATAGTTTTCTTTAACTATTCCCACCCCAGTTTTAAAAAAGATTGCAATACATTGATTTTTTTTTTTCTTCTTTTTTTTGCACAAAAATTGAAGCAATAGAAAAGTCACCTGATTCCTCAGGAAAGACCTTCATTATGTTTGAAGAACAACAGCCAATGCGCTCTACAAGCAGCCCCTGTTACTTTGAAGTGTCATTACAGTGCACTTCCTCCAAAGTAAGGTTTGCACCTTAGAACTTTGCCTCCAAATTGTATTCAAACCTGAAATGTGTCCAAATAACTGCAGATCTCCTCTAAGCAAAGTGATCACATGTTGTGGTTTCCAATTGGATATCAACATGCTGAAGGTCTTCCTAATATGTTATCATCTTGGAAGGTTAAATAAAAGCAAATTTAGTAACACTGAACAATTACTGAAAACTTTGGCTATTTATGTACTTGCATTACATACCAGCATTTGTTTTAAAAACACAATGGCATTAAGATACTCTTCTTATAAGGTATTACTTTAAAAAGAAGTTAGACTGAGAAGCTATTCTCTCCCAGGCAAGTTCACCCAACTGCAATGAGCACCAAAGCGGTGCCAGATTGCAGGTGGCTCTAAAAGACTGTGTCTAGAAATAAAGTCTCCAGTGTAGGAAGTTAAGACACTCACTACAACATAACGTGCTTTGTCTCTTGACTTGGTTA